CCCCCCCCCCTTCCCACGCTAGGCTTCGACACGATCGCCACGCTCTACAACGCGATCACGTCGGTGCAGCAGGGCGAGGCGAACGACGCGCTCGGCATCACGCGCGCCGCCGCCGAGTCGTGCGCACGCCCCCCCCCCGCCGGACACGTCCAGCGAACCTTCTCGGACCCTTCCTATAGGCGCGTCGTCGCCGAGCGGCCTCACGACCCGCCTTGCCGAGACGCGGAGGCGGCGGCGGCCTGAGGGTGAGGGGCGCTCGTCACGCCGCCGTGACGCCGCCGGCACACGCGGCGCGCTGCCTCGAGAGTACACCGTTTTGGGTATTGCATAGTTGCACCGTCGGCTGGGGGTGGGAGGGTACCCTCTCTCTCTCCGGAGTCACATGAGGGGGGTGGAGATGGTGTGAGGTGCGTTGCCGCATGTGGAGGTTGTCCCTGCGGACCGGTGCACTCACCACACCGTCCCCTCTCTGCGACATTAGTACGAACGAAAGGAGTGTACAGTGCCGAGTACAGAGGGGGGGGCGCCAACAGAGACGGCGCGAGACTCCCTGGACTTGACTCCCTACCGCCTTGGAGCCGGAACCCTCCGGTCGTCCATCCTCATTGGCGAATGAGACCTGTCGCCGTGCATCGGCTCGGCCGCGTCGGCTACGCCTCGTCGCAGGCGCTGCAGCGCTCGCTCGCCGCGCAGGTGCGCTCCGGCGTGCGCGGGGACACGCTGCTGCTGCTCGAGCATCCGCCCGTCTTCACGCTCGGCCGCGTGCAGCAGTCGGCGGCCAACGTGCTCGCGTCGCCAGAGGAGATTGCGGCGGCGGGGGCGTCGGTGCATCAGTCGGAGCGCGGCGGCAACGTCACTTTCCACGGGCCTGGCCAGCTTGTCGCGTACCCGATTCTCGACCTCGGCCGCTTCCGGAAGTCGGTCCACTGGTACGTCGAGGCGGCCAGGCCCGCGGGCGGCGGCGGCCTCCGTGCGCCACGCTTCTCACCCGCCCCGTCCTTCCGAGTAGGCGCTCGAGGATACGCTCATCGGCACGGCCGGCGCCTTTGGGGTGTCTGCGAGGCGCGGCGGCGACGGCGAGACGGGCGTTTGGGTGACGGACCGGAAGATTGGCGCGATCGGCGTGTCGGTCTCGCGCTGGGTCACCTCGCACGGCGTCGCGCTCAACGCGGAGACGGACCTCCGCTTCTTCGACATGATTGTGCCGTGCGGGCTGCACCACAACACGAGAGTCACCTCGCTTAGCCGCGAGGTTGGGCGAGGCGTCTCTGTGTCGGAGGCGGCGCCGCCCTTCCTCGACGCGTTCGCGCGCATCTTTGAGTGCGAGCTTGTTGATGCGCCGGAAATGTCGCTCGAGGAGGAGGTTTGCCAGGCGGCGGAGGCGGTGGCCGCGCCGGCGCCGGCGGCGGCTTCCTCTGCACCCTCCTGAGTACCGCTACCGGAGTGAGACGACTGCGGGGAGAGCGATGCGCTCGCGTGTGCGTGTGATTGTGTTGTCGAGGTGTGTGGTTCAAGCTCACGAGCGAAAAGCTAACGTGGTTGTACCACACAGGCGCCACTATACCGTAAACACAGCTCTCACAGATAGAGCCTACTCTCCCTATACGCTATTAATAGTACAGCTCTCTCCGTCACCACGGTCCAGACATAAACATACAACACGATGGCAAACCGGGTGTGAGCGAAGTCGCCTCTATTTGTCACTCGCCATGCGCGTCCTTGGCTGACCCTCCAAAACTCCCTCCCCGCCGTTCGCGGCTCGGCTTGCGTATGCGGATGGGAGCTTCGAGGACATGCAGGCGTCCCACCCCCTCCGGCCATCCCCCCGGCTCCCAAGCGCGCGGCCGCGAGGCGCTGCGCACCCTCTTCCGCGCTGCACCCGCTCTCGGCATGGCCGTCGTCCGCCGAGATCACCTCCTCTTCGCGCCGCAGGTGCACAACCAAGGGCTTGCCACCTCCGTATCCATCATGATGAAGCCAATGGGCCAAAATCGGACTCCGCTCCCCTCCCAGGTGGCCGGAGGGTACACCTCGGGTCGGCGTGCTGGGGGGGGCGCCGGTGCGCAAGCCCACTTTCCGGGCGACCCCGAGGGGGAGGAGGCCGGGCGAGTGGCAGCAATTCACTGTTAGTGTCCCGGGCCGCTGCGGCACCGTTTATACGGCCCCTCGTGATGTCTTTCCGATTTTGCATTGTGAGTCGTCCTCTGGCCAGCCGAGGGGCACCAGAACGGCATGTGTACTGCTGCTGGCTGCGGGTGCGGAACGGGCTTTTTTTAACTCGCAACCAAGCATACTATACAAGGACACCCTCGGGGGGGACACTCGGCGCATGTGCGACGCGTCAGGGTGGAGTTGGCGGTGGCCGAGCGTCGTCTCCAGATCGACTCGCAGCGCGGAGTCGCGACACCGCTCGACACCGCTCGACAACCGCTCGACACCGCTCGACACCTCTGATGATCTAACACAGCAGAGACGTAGACCCATTGGAGTCACAGAGTTAGAAAATCAGGGTTGCAGCAGCAATACTTGGCTGGCAGTACTTTTATCCCTCAGTTGCAGCCTCTCAAAAGTTCTAGGCAAGTTGCGGCTCAGTTGCACCCCTGTTGATGTAGCAAACATGGCAGTACTCAGGTAGCCCTCAGGTGCTGCACAGCACCTTGTACAGTGGCAATGAATCCTCACACCAGTGAGCTTGTGCCATGAGTGCAGACCTGTGGTCCATTGCGCTTTGTGCACTGGCGACGCTCGGCTGCAACGGCGACGCTGCAGCGGCGGCGACGCTGCTGCGATGGGGTACTGTAGCCCTTCGCTGCTGGACAGCACCTTGTGCAGTGGCAATGTCCACTGACTCATGGCACCAGCCTTGTGAAAGGAGCGCTGTGGTCAGTTGCGCTTTGTGCGCCGGTGGCGCTGCAGGGGCGACGACGCTGCAGCGGCGACGCTGCTGCGGTGCTGCGCCTGCACAGCACCTTTGTGCACAGTGGCAATGTCTCCCGGCACTTGATGTCCTCAAATGTCCACAGAGAGTATACTGGTTGTGCTCCAGGTTGTGCTACATCAACAGGGTGCAACTGAGAGGCTGCAACTATAAGGGATGAAACAGCTTTGCAACTGCTGCCCAAGTTTTGTTGATGGGCTGCAACTGCATCCTGCCACCTTGGACACCTCGACACCTTAGACGCAAAACCCCTTGACAACACTCGCGACACCCGCTCGACACGCTCGACACGCTCGACACGCTCGACACCCCTCGACACCCCTCGACACCCCTCGACACGGACAAGCGTGGTACCAGCCTCGACAGGCCTCAACAGGCCTCGACAGGCCTCGACACCTCTACCCCTCGACAGCAGCTCGACACCCTCCACACCGGGCCTCGACACCTCGACACCAGGGCTCAGCATGGGACTAGGGGAGCCCGGACCTCGAGGACCCCCCGTGCGGGGGCCTTCCCTTTTGGGCGAAACAAGACCAACCTACCTACATATCTGGGAGGGGCCAGCCAGTGGCAACAGACCCCCTATCCGGCTAGGAGCCGGAACCCTGCCTGTCCAGAGAGGCATGGGTGCCAATCTGGGGTCTTTCGACCGAGTCTGATTTCGCCTCGCCGCCTCGAAGCGGCGGAGATGGCGGGCAGGGCGGGCGGGGGATCGAGCAAAGCACGACTCGCACGGCGCTCTCTTTTTTCAAACTCGCAGGAGTCGCTTAGGCGGCTCCCGTGGTGTACCTGTGTTAGTGCCAGTGCGCGCCAGTCCCGTGCCCAGTGTTGTGCGAGGGAGTTTTGTTGTAAAACTCTTCTTTCAGTGTCGAGCCTGTCTGCTGTGAGAGAGAGTTGTTTTGTTTAAACTCTTTTTTCAAAAGCCTCAGAAAAAAAAAGGTGGCGCTGTCGGGAGACGAGAGAGGTGAGCACACTCTGCAGCAGCCTCTCTCCTGCCTCTCTTCTCTTGCATGCAATCCGGCCGTCGGCACGCACTGCGGGCGCTGCGCATCGGCGGGCCGGTCCGCGGCGCCGCGACGTTGCTGCACGAGTCCCGCATCCCGACGGACCACTTCCAGGACTCGCTGCCCAAGATGCCGGTCCCGGCGCTGTCGGATACGCTCTCCAAGTTTCTGTACTTTGCGGAGCCGCTCGTGTCGGACGACGAGCACCTGCTCGCGCGGCGCGGCGCGTCTGCCTTTGCCGGCGCAGAGGGTCCGGCGCTGCAGGCCGAGCTGCTCGCGTCGAGCGAGCGGCAGTACACGTCGTACATCTCGGCGCCATGGTTCGACATGTATTTGCGCGACCGCGCGCCGCTGCTGCTCAACTACAACCCGCAGCTCACCTTCGAGGACGAGGCGGCCCGCCCGTCGCAGGCCAACCGCGCGGCGCGGCTGTGCCACGCGGCCGGCCGCTTCCTGCTGACGCTCGAGGCGGGAGAAGCGCTCGATCCGGACGCGGCGCACACGGAGAGGCGATACTTCACACGGAGAGGACCGGTCGACAGGCGGGCGTGCTCGAGCCGGACGTCTTCCACACAAAGCCAAAGGTGTCGCAGACGCCGCTCTGGCGCGAAGCAGTGCGGCTGATGCCGCGAAGCGTCGCATTCTACGGCGCTGCCGCCACGGGAGCGTATGCGCTCGACATGTCGCAGTGCGCACGCCCCCTCCCTCCGCCGCTGGACGCGTGGTTCGCACGCCGGTCGGCGAGGAGGCGCCAATAATTAATTGATTGATTAAATTGCCTGCAGGTACGCGAACCTGTTCCGCTCGACGAGGCTGCCTCGGCCAGAGCTCGACGAGCTCTCGACGTGCAGCGACTCGCGGCACGTGGTCGTGCAGCGGGGAGGAGAGCAGACGCCTCGCCGAGACTC